ATGTATTTTGTAGAACAGAATTAAAATATTAGCCAGCTAAACGACCAATCTCCTTAGAGCTTTTAGTTAAAACTACCAAATTCTATCCAGATCTAAAGAAGTTATCCTATAAGCACACAAAAGGAAATAGACTGGTTTGGGGATTGTAAAACAGTGATGTTATGGAAAATAGTAGGGAGGTTCCTCAAAAAATTAAGAATGGGGGTGCCTCAGTCAGTTGAGTGTGTGACTCTTTACTTCAGCTTGGATCATAGTCTCAGGGTTGTGGGATTGAGCCCTGCATCGGGCTCCATGCTGAACTGGAATCTGCTTGGGATTCTCTTTCCCTCTGCCCTTCTCCCCCGCTTGCTCTCTAAAGTAAAAAAAAAAAAAATTAAATTAAAAATAGAACTACGATATGATCCAGTAATCCCACTTCTGGGTATATATCTAAAAGAACTGAAAGCAGGGTCTTGAAAAGATATTTACATACCCATGTTCTAGCAGCAGTATTCACAAGAGCCAAGAGGTAGAAGCAACCCAAATGTCCACTGAGGAATGAATGGATAAACAAAATGTGGTATATACATACATATGATAGAATATTATTCAGCCTTAAAAGGAAATTCTGATGAATGTTAGAACATGGATGAACCTTGAGGACATTACGCTAAGTGAAATAAGCCAGATACAAAAGGACAAATACTGCATGACTCCACTTATATGAGATTATTCAAAGTAGTCAAATTAATAGAAACAGAAAATAGAATGGTGGCTTCCTGGGGTTTGGGGGAGGGGAAAAAGGGGGGTTTTTATTTAATGGGTAGTGAGTTTCAGAACTGCAAGATGAAAAAGGTCTAGAGATCTGTTCCATAAAAATGTGAGTATAGTTAATACTATTGAATAGTATAATTAAAAAGGTTATGATGGTAAATTTTGTGTATGTTTTACATACAGTAAAAAAAAAAACCCTGATTTATTCTCCCTCAGGATACATATTGATCACAGATATAGGGCTGGATTCTAAAAATAACATGTCCTTTCCTGTCTAAATGTTAATACACAACTTACAGTTCTGTAATTCACTACAGTCTATGAAACATGGTCAATCAGAAACCACTTGCTATCCATGACTTTTGAATACCAATAAGAGTTATAATGTTCTTTAGTCTTAAATACCAGAGAGAATATGTAAGTAAGTCTTGATTAATCAAAGACTAGTTCTTCAATAAATGACTTTTCAAGCCTCCTGCTATTCCTTCATTCTGTTTTATTCTTCCTAGCCATTTCTGTAATTACTAGGGTTTCAATGCAAGAATATGAGTATTGGGAAAAAATTCTAATTGGTCTGATGGATCACTGTAAGAAGTAGTTACCAGATTTGGCCACAATGTGAAATGAAGTTTTTATCTATGTTTTCCTTCTTCCTCTTAACATGAGAAAAACCTCCACAGTTCTCTTCATTTACAAGGCAGATCTAATTGTGGCCCCGGCATACTGCTAAAAAGAGATGGGCATATAAGAACTCCTGGGAAGGTAAATAAAAAACTTGCTTCAATTCTATCCTTCAGTTTTAGAAGTATAGAAGTAAGACCAATGAGGTTAAATGAGGCATAACAATATGTATGCCATTTAGTCTTTTTTAACATAGTATTAAGATTTAGGAGGGCCAAAAATTGCTGTCTCCTTTTAGTAAGAGGAAAAATTAATCTTATCCCAGAGCTAAGAAAGTTTTAACTAAAAAGATACATATTTAGATTCAGGTCCGATCAACATTCAGATAATATATTTAGAATTTTAGATCTTTTTATTTATAGGCCCGCAAAGTAAGGAGCAGAAAGAAGGAAGATAAGATCTTAGGTATTCTTTTTCAATTTATTTTATTAAAAATTTTTTAAAAATTTTTTTATTTATTTTTGGGGGGGGAGGGGCAGAGAGAGAGGGAGAGGGAGAATCCCAACCAGCTGTCAGTACAGAGCCCAACATGGGGCTCGAACTCACGAACTCTAAGAGGACGACCCGAGCTGAAACCAGGAGTTGGACACTTAACTGACTGAACCAACCAGGCGCCTCAGGTCTTAGGTATTCTTAAGAACCATTTTAAGATAGGGGCGCCTGGGTGGCGCAGTCGGTTAAGCGTCCGACTTCAGCCAGGTCACGATCTCGCGGTCCGTGAGTTTGAGCCCTGCGTCAGGCTCTGGGCTGATGGCTCAGAGCCTGGAGCCTGTTTCTGATTCTGTGTCTCCCTCTCTCTCTGCCCCTCCCCCGTTCATGCTCTGTCTCTCTCTGTCCCAAAAATAAATAAAACGTTGAAAAAAAAATTTTTAATAAAAAAAAAAAAAAAGAATCATTTTAAGATATTTCCCAGCTGGTTTTCAGTCTTAAGACAATGATTTCAGATTTGTGTTAATAATCCTTTTTACTCCAGTCTATCCCATTAGTAACTGGTTTGCAGATTCTGAAATGCATATCATGGGCTACTCTTTTGATCGTAAATCATACGTTTATTACTGTATTAACAAAACCTCTTGGGCTCTAAAAAGGAACAGATGGGATGATTAACAACAGCAGCTGTTACATCACTGTCCAGGATATTACATGTCTACCATAAATTATTTTAAATTTTATATGCCTCACCTTCCCGATTTTTTAATACTGCTCCTTTGCCTCCAATACACAACAAAACACACCACGAAGGTAAATTTAATAAGATGCTACTGATGTCATTAAGTGCCTTCTTTGATGACTTTTAGCTAATCAAATCAATCTTATTACTGGTTTGATTTTGATAAACTTTATATGTAACTTTTCTAATACATTATTAGATTCTGTTGGTTTTTTGATTCTTAGAGTAATTACCGTTTCCAATGTTCAACTGTTTCAGGAGTTATTTCACAGGTATTCTAATTTAATCCTCACAATGGTGGACATAAATACTACTATTACTCACATTTTACAGGTTAGGAAACCATACAAAGTAATTAAGTACTCTGCCCAAGTAATAATCTAGATGAATTTTTTTTAATGTTTATTTTTGAGAGAGAGACAGAGGGAGAGAACCTGAGCACGGGAGGGGCAGAAAGAGAGGGAGACAGAGAATCCTAGGCAGGTTCTACACTGACAGCAGAAAGCCCCATGCAGGGCTCAAACTCCCTAACTGTGAGATCATCACCTGAGCTGAAGTTGGACACTTAACCGATTGAGCCACCCAGGTATCCCATGGATGGATTTTAATCAGCCTTCAAAGCCCTTGTTCTTATTTTATTCTTCCCCTATCTTCTCACACTGGCTCACAACTAAAACATTTACTGGAATATAATTTGTATTTAATGACTATTTAACAAAAAAGTCACAGTTTAAACAGTGAGGAATCTTGGGAGTCTTGGCTTTCTGAAGATTAACATCAGAACAGGCAGCTCAAGAAATGGCTTACAAGTAGCATTTTAGTTTCCTCAGCAACTCAGTTTTCCTGGATCAAAATCTAACTAAAAATAATTATGCTCTCTGTGGTAGAACAAATTCATTCTGACTCCCTCCTCCTCTCTTTGGTTGGAAATTAGGCAAAGTACTTTAACAGTCTTACAAGAGAGAAGTATTTATGCCTCTGTAAAGTAATCTGGTATCAATTACGTCCTAACCTCTTCAACATTTTAGAAAATAACTATCACCCTTCCAGGGTCCTTTTTGCAAAATAAATCATCATTTGCCTATGTGACCAGTCACTTTCAATATCAGAGTTTCTATTTTCAGATATTCGGTTGGATTGTCTACCATCCCAGCAGTTATTAACAGGAGCTGTTCTCGATACCTTATGGGAGAATTACTAAAGGAAAAGACCAAAAATTTATTTTAAATGAGATACAGAAAGACTAAAATAGTAGAAAGCGTTATCTCTTAGAATAACAAAGACTTCATTAGATAGTTTAAGTGGTTATATTAGCATCAACAAGTACTTTTTGAGCTGGGACTATGAATTTATTTCCTGAATATAAAGGGAAAATTCTAAAGATGTCACCAAAGATATTTCCTAGAAACATAACCTTTCTGACATAAATGAAACAAACTTCAAACTTTTTCAGACACGTGCTGCATAAAGAACTTAACACTGTTTTATTTAGTCACTCATATACTGAATAGCTACTATGAAGAGAAGTATTATCCAAGATAGAATAATACATAAATTCACAAACCTAGTACTGAAATTTTCAACTAGAACGAACTGTACCAAGTGGTATGAGTCAGTATTCTTATAAAACAGCCCCAAACATCTCCAATGGTTCCAGAACAGATTACTGATTTCCACATTCCACATACAAAGATTAGTTTTTCCCAACACCTCTTACGAGAAACCTGGATATTACGAAGGGAGATACCATTTCCTCCTCACATTTACAAATCTGATCCCACAAAGGTACTTAGGCACTTTAATAATACATCCCTTTAAAAGAGACAAAGCTTGCGGTCTATGTAGTTCTGGTAGGATTTTCCTTAGAGATCAGGAGTCACATTAACTCTTATAAACTAGACTCAGAACGGGCCTTTGATAATTATCGGTTTGCTCTAAACTAATGAAAGGATTTGTGGGCGGGTCGCCATCCTGAACCACTCCAGATAACACTATTCATCCTAGGAGCATTAAGGTTAGGGAGAGCAAAGTCTGCACTCCATCCCCTTATGCTGACCTATTAAATCAAGCCACAGGAAACCACCACAAAACAGCCCCGTGGGTCTTTGGGGTCACCACACGGCAGGGCTAAATGCCGGCCTGGGCAGCTCTTAGCTGTCAGGGACCTCGGCGAAGCCACCACACCCCTCTCACCGTCCGCCCCAGGGGCCTGGAAGTCAGGCCCCTACATCTTGGCACTCATTAATGGCCCCCAAACCACCACCATCGTCACCAACGCAAGGTCTCGCCGGGCCCACTCTGCCCAGCCTCCTCGACCCTCGCTTAGCCTCTCTTCCCTTTTGGGGCGCCCGCCCGCCCGTCCGCCCGCCGGTTACCCCGAAGGGTGCGAACTCACGACCGCAGCCGCGCCGGTGAAAATATCCTCCCCCTCGGTGTCGCTGTCCCCAGCCTCGGGTTCTGACCCCCCGGCTGCCCCCTCGGACTCCGGCTCCAAGCCAGGAAAAGGTGGAGGGAATCTCTCCGAAGCGCTACAGCCACCACCACCCGACGCCATCTTCCTCCACCCGCGGCGGAAGCCGCAACAACAACTTTATAGAGAGCGCCGCGAGCAAAACGTTCCAGAGGAACGAGGAGTGGGATCGTCGTGATCAACCCCGTGGGACGCACAGGGCGGGGGCTCAGGGGCGGAGCCTAGCCGCTCGGGGCAGGGCAGGCCTGTTCACCTCTGGTGCCCAACAAATCCGAGCCCTGCATCGCCACGCTGAGATCTTAACCAGGGGGGCGAATGGGCCAGAAAAGGAGGAGCTAGGTATGGGCTGCTCACATTCCTAGGGTTCTTTGTGTTCTGGATAGCCTTATCTAACAGGCTTCTTAAGATGTCGTTCGAATAAAGGAGCTTGAAAACTCTTCTACATGCCACGCACCTATGCCAAGCACAGTGCTGTCACTGAGATTCAATAAATATTTTTGACTGAGGGCTCTCAACAGGCTGCAGTAAAGTTTCGCCATTTATTCTTTGTTCATTTAGTTAATTCATTCAAGAAATACATATTGAACATCTACTGTATGCCTGGCATCCTACTATGCGTTGGAGATACAGAAATAAACGGACTCAACAGGCACTTGAGAGACAGGCATGCAAATGAACAATTCAACGTGTTCAGTGCTACAGTGTGCTCTGGGAGCCGTGTGAATGAGTATCAGTCATGCTTGGAGACGCTGGGAGGCCCTACAGAAGGTGAGACCTCAGTGCCCTAAATTTGGTTACAAGGAAGTGAGGATTATCCTCTTAATTGCTGTGGAGTGAAGTGGAACAGATGGCAAAGAAATTCTTAAACTCTGAACAGAATTTTCCTGGGGCCTAAGCTATTCACTTGTCTGGTGAGACTAAAGTCTAAATCAGTCAGACAATACTTTAAACAAAAGTTTGAAGATAAATGGGATATGTTAGCATAGGATAATTGTGCAAAGTAATCCTTTCTTCTCAATAGAGATGAAATTTGCCATCAAATGTGACAAAAGATTTGTTTCTAATTGCAAATTCCTCAACATCAGGGATTGGCTCCTTCCCAGGTCTATGTATGAACTGTTTGAATGCAGGGGCCGCCTCCTAATCTTGGTATTCTCAGCGTCTGTAGACCAAGTTTGGCAAAGTAAGTGCCCAACAAATGTTTGAAACTTGACTGGAGAGATGGATGGATAAAAATAACATCATCAACCTTGATACTGGCATTCATCACAGCCACGAACACCAGAGGACTTAAACCATTCTTTTTAGGATAACGATCTCCAATGTGTCACTACTGGATGCCCTGGGCACAGCGCAAGCGCTGTCGTTCTAAGTTGTCTTTGAAGGCAACTAACAGAAATAGCTCGCAGTGGGGAGTTGTGCCGGCCGAGTCCCTCTGAGACGAGAAAATCAAAAACCCTCTCCGCCTCTGCGACATCTAACGAACCTCACTGGGCTCCCAAAGTGTTCCGTTTCACCCCAAGGGAAACTCACTTCCGGCGTGACTAGGAAGTAAGAAAACTGGCTGGAAGCAGCTCCCTCAGAAAAATAACAGTAAAGTCTCCTTGCACACGCTCCTCCAGCGCTAGAAATCAAGATCTCCTTTCCCCCTACCTCTTCAGGATTCATCTTTAGCTTATTGAAGGCGCTGAGTGAGGCAAACAGTGTAAAGTAACAGACCGTTACCTAACCCCCTTCCCCGACAGAGACTACAAATCCCAGAATACAGCTCTCTGTCTTCCGAAGAAAACGCCCCATACGTCCCAGCACGCAATGCGCCTCACGTGCTGGGAGGAATTTTTTTTCCCCCCCCGTCCCGCCGAAACCGAGGAAAGCATGCTGGGGCTTGTAGTCTTTGCGGGGCCCTTCCCTAGGTCCTCCGCGCTACTCCGTCGGGTCCCGCCTATTTTCTGCTCCCCTGGAGCTTTAGGCTCGTCTTGGCCCATTTGAAGACCAGGAAGTTGATAAATTGCGAGGCCCGCTGCTGAGAGACGGTGGCTCGGGTGGGACAATCGCCAGGGATGGCGGAGCGTAAGGATGGAGCGGGTGTCCGGGCTGCTTTCCTGGACGCGGAGCAGAGTCCTGTGGCTCTCCGGCCTCTTTGAGCGGGGAGCTGCCCGGCAGCCCCGGATCATGGAAGAGAAAGCGCTAGAGGTTTATGGTAATTAATTTTACCCAGGGCAGCGTGTGGCTTTGTATGTGGAGACGGGGGTAATAGGGGCTTCACCTGAGGGCTGGGGGTGGAAACTTCGGTTTTTTCTGGGTCTCGGCGGAAAGCTTGGGAAGCCTTTTCTCCGGAGTGGGGAAATGTGGGTCTTTCTAGGACTGGGGCTCTTCCCAAACTTGGGGCTAAGCCGAGCCTGGAGGTCTTAAACACCTCATTTCCCTCTCATGCCCTAGTGCCCTTCTCAAGACTTCTGGGCAGAGCAGGCGTCTAGAGTGCTTGGTTAGGAAGGAACGCTGGCGTGATTGCACTACTGGTCTCCTTCCTTGCGTTCCCTAACCCCTGGATACACATTCCTCCTGCTGCCACCACCGAGAGCACTGCTGGGTGACTAACGAGTTGGGGACTGGCCCAAGGTTACAGCCGCTCTCATGTGCAAAAGAAAATGCAGAGATCCCCCCCCAGAGAAGAGGAGGACAATACTGGTTCCCTGTACCTGGGCCTCGAAATTAGAGTTTCTTATCACAGCCAAGCCTGGAGTGCAAAAAACGAATACACAGAAACACACATATAGTCACATGTGTTTGTTTTGTTTTTAATCCCTTGGGACCATGAGAAAACAAAGGTTTAGAATGGTTAACTACCCAGAGGTCACGCTGCCACTAAACAACGGCAAAAACCAAACCCCGGATCTTCTGATTTCAAACTTCGTGCACTTTACACCATTTCACAATTGTCTTACGGCTGTTTTTGGACTTAGGTAGTATTGTTTTTGAAAACTAAAAAGACTGGGACTAACTAATGTTCAGAGATTCCTGCTGACTGAGGGAGAAAGATTTAACCCTAAGAATACAAATAAAATGTGGGCAAGGATTATGGGCCAGTAGAAGGAGGTCACAGTTGGAAGGGACCGTTGGAGCCAATCTAATTTACCCCTCTCTTACTAGAGGCAGGACTTAATCAACCCTAGTTATATGATTATTGTGAGTGGAATGATCCCCACAACACGGACACATTCCTGTCCTATCAGACTTATGTCTACAGCATCTCAGGACGGACGGGCACTTGGGGATACAACCTTGGAAGAGAGATGATTCTTGTCATCAAGTTTATATTGAGGGAGACCTATGTACGCAAAAACAGACTTTTTCATTATATGCAGTACCAACCAATAGACTTGAATAAGAGATACAATAGGAGGAAGGAGAGATTCTAATCTCTGATTGGGGAATCTGGAAAGAGTTTAAGGAGGAGTCACTTGAGTTAGGCATTGAAGTAGAAGTAGGTTCTGGATATATGGTGGGTAGAAGGCATACTAAACAGAAAAAGGATCAAAAGAATGGAGGTGAGAAAATAATATGTTAGGGAATGGCAGATAGGTGGGTCTACAGGTTAGGGTTTGTGGTTTAAAGGTGAAAGTGCTGTCAAAAAGTGTTTAGGGGCACCTGGGTGGCTCAGTCGGTTAAGTGTTTGCCTCTTGATTTCATCTCAGGTCATGATCTCATAGTTTGTGGGATGGAGTCCTGTATGGGGTTGATGGCTTGGAGCCTGCTTGAGATTCTCGATTCTCTCTCTCTCTCTCTCTCTCTCTCTCTCTCTCTCTCTCTCTCTCTCTCACTACCCCTTCCCCTGCTTGTGCCATCTCTCTTTTTCTCTTTGTGTCAAAATAAATCAATAAACATTTAAAAAATTGTTTTATATACCAGGTTGGAATTGGATACTGAAGGTTTAAATGTAAATAAAGAATATCTGTGCAGAGCCATAGAAGAATTTTTATCAGGGGAGTAATGTGAGAAGAGCAACATTTCTTTCTAAAGAAATAAATCCAGAGCTCTCAAATCAGTAGAAAACCAGAGAAGTTTAATGCAGGATGAAATTTAATATCAGGCTTAAGTAACATATAAAGAATATAATGTGGCCTGTATAAATGAGCCTTACAGGGAACATGCCTAGGATGAGGGGAAGCAAATTTCTTTTTAAAAAGCAGTGTTTCCCTGAGTCCCACGATGATAGAGCCTTGTGAAGAAGAAGCTTTTGTCTTTATTTTTCCTGCCTCCATTTTGAAATTCTGTGGCTGATCAAGTGATAAGCCCAGGAGTTGCTGGGGAGAAGTTGCAATTTGATTGGTTTAGTTTTCCCAGTAGCATTTCTGATTATAAGGGTGCTATAAATAATACAACAAAACCTCAGGCCTGAGAACGTTGTCCCATCCTACGTGAACTCCCTCTACTCTCCTTTCTGCCTCACCATTTTTGTCTCATTCTCCTTTTCCATCTTTTTCTACAACCTCAGAGTAGGAAGGAAATCTTGTCCTCTCCAAGGCCAACCCAGGCTCCCACATCCTTGGTCTCTTTCCCTTCTGTTTATTTTGCCAGTCGTGCCCCGCCCCCCCATATTTTCAGTCTCTCTTCTATTTGGTTCTTCCCCTTGGGCTATATATAAAACACTCAAGTTTCTCTTACCCTTGTGATTGTTCTAGCTTTGTCCAAACCCGCAATTCTTTTCTTTTCCCTTCCCCTTCCCTGCTGAAGCCCTAGGACTACATTTTTAGTTCCCACTCAGTTCCCCTTTTGCAAGCTGGCTTCTACCTTCATCCCTCTACTGAAACTGCTTTTTTACAGGTGATCTCCTGAGTGATAGATCCAAAGACCTGTTTCAGCTCTCGTCCACCTGAATTTTTCTGCAGCGTTTAATATTGTTAACCACCCCCCTTTCCATCTCTGCTTCTTGCTTTTATTTCTCCTTCTGATCCCTGAATTAGGTACTTCCCACAGATCTATTCTTGGGTCTCTCCCTTCACATTAGTGGTTCTCAAATTGTACTAAGAGGAACCTGAGGAATTTTTTAGAAGTCACAATGCCCAACCCATGCTACCCATCAGTTAAATCAGGATCTTTAGGGGTAGGGCTTTAACATCAGTTTTTGTTTTGTTTTGTTTTTAAAGCAGGTC